GGGTGGTCTCCGGGGCGTGGCCCACCTGGCGCGTGCTCGTGTTCGTGCTTCTTGAGGTGCCGGTCCAGGTTGGTCTGCTGCCCGAAGCAGCGGCTGCACAGGTGGCACTTGAAGGGCTTCTCCTTGTTGTGGATGTTGCGGACGTGCCGCTGCAGGTTGGAGGAGATGCTGAAGGACCGGTCGCAGTACTTACACCTGCAAGGCACGCGTGTCTCAGAGGGGCCCCACCACAGCCGCAGGACCCCGAGCCCCGTGGGTCCCGAGGCCACGGGCCACCCAGCCCCAAGGCGGTCGGTCGCACAAGGCTGTGCCCAGGGGCAGGTATTCGACCTGGACCCCTGCACAAGGGATCATGTCGGGCTGTGCCTCCAGCGGGGGAGGGGGACCCGGGGCCTGTGCCCTGGAGTGTGCAGTGCCCAGAACTCTCCAGTGCCTCTGCCCGCCCAGCTGTCAGGTCACCCAGCTCGGTGGCCCCAGGCCTGGCAGGTCCACGCGGAGGGTGACATGCTCCCAGCAGCCTCAAGGGGGCAGCACATCACCACAGAAAGATGCTCAGGCCTTTCCCGGGAAGGAGGGGCCCACGGCCACCTCCCTGGAACTGTCCTCCCCACAGGGACCCCCAGCAGGCCTGGGAGGGTGAGGACAGCCGGGTCTCAGCGGGTCCCTGGGCCAGTCCCATCCTGCTGGGGCCTCAGCTTGCGAATCCATCAAGGGGGGCGTGGGAGCTGCCCCGAGGTTCTTTAGCGTCCTAACCACCCTGAAGGGGGGCTCCCAGCCTTGCTGCTGTCAGGGCACGTCCTCTACAGGGACCACAATGACCACACTGTCCCTTTCCGATCTGGGGCAGCTCAAACACTCAGTTCATCTGTGTGCCCCTCTGGGTGGGCACCGCCTGCCAGCCTGCCCCGTGCACTCCCTCCTATAGCAGCCAGCCTCAGTCGCACCTGCCGGAATATTCTGCTGACATCCAAGTTTATCCAAACAAAGCGCTTACTGCCAGGAAATAGCCGTGATGAGCCATCTGAGACGCCCGGGTGTGACATGGCCCCTGTACGTGGGGGGCCCCCGGGTAGGGTGTGGCTTTCAAGACAACTCTCTCGGACCCTCATACAGAGGGTGAAACGAGCCGGGGCCGAGCGATACGCGTGTGGAGAAGACACGCCAGCCAGGAACAGGGAGAGCCAGGGCCAGAGAGCAGTGACGGAGAAGGGGCCTGCGACCACGGGCTCTGCAGCCAGCGCACTGCCCCCTCCTGGTGGCAGAAGTCCAAGCAAGGCCGGTAACCGCTGGCTGACAGGCGCTTCCACCGCCCTGTGCGCCCAGCAGGAGTCGCACACTTGGGTATGTGCATGTGTGCACGAATGCATGTACACAGTGTACACGGTAGTGTGCATACATGTGCACATGTATGCGCACGCACACTGTGCACATATAGGCACGTGTGCTAGTGTGCACACACATGCACACAGTACGCACACGTGCACACACATGTGCACCCCGTGTGCTCGTGTATGCTGTACACANACCGCCCTGTGCGCCCAGCAGGAGTCGCACACTTGGGTATGTGCAGTGTGGGTGCGTGCACACAGGCGGTGCAAGTGCACATGGGCACACAGAAGTGCTGGCTCCAGAGCTCCTCAGAGACACTATGAGCCTCCGCTCTGTCTGATGGTGTCAGCATCCTGGGCTGCAGGCCTGCTCCTCAGGGCAGCCGCTCAGGAGGGACCGGGTGCAAGGCCAAGCTGGCCCCAGCCCAGGTCTGGGCACTCACCCCCTGCCCACCCACAGGCGTGCCCGGCTGAGCTGCGCCCGCCCTCAGTCTATACCGTGCTCACATGCACAGTGTCTCTTCCCTTGCTCCTTTCAACACGTGCCCCCTGAGGGCAGCAGTGGGAACCTGGAGCAGCGGGATCCTGAGTGCGAAATGGGGCTGCATTGGAGCCGGTTCCCAGACACGGAGAGCAGGGGTGGGGGGCCACAGAGAGTCCTGAGTGGCCATCCTGAGTGGCCCTCCTGAGGTCTAATCTAAATAAATGGCCCAGACAAACAAGTCTGTTTGGAATTTAGGGGAGCAGTGAGCCCAGGGCTCAGGGAGCAGGGCTCTGCAAGCAGCTGGGATTTGCATTGTAAATAAGCTGACAAGTGGCGACTGAAATTTATGGCCGTGCTGTGTAGAGTAACGGCCGGAGCTCCACCAGGAACGGGTGCGCAGATGGGCAGCCGCAGCAGCGGGCAGCTGAGGGCCCAGAGGGTCCTCGCTGTGACCACGTCTGCTGCCACCCCAGGGAAGCCAGCCACGGTGGGCACGGCACGGGCAGGGAAGGGTGAAAGGCTCAGGGCAGCGTCCTCCCTGGGACCCGCAGGACACACCACGGGGGGGAGAAATGCTGTTGGTAACTGTAACGCAAAGAAGGAAAAGATACCCAGCCCTAGAAATAAAACTAGCGGAGGAGACCCACACGGGCCAGGCTCGGGCGTTTGGCTTAGCGCAGGTGGCAGGACGGGAGCCCAGGAGGAGCCGGGCTGAAGATGGAGAGGGTGTGTCCCTGCGAGGAATCCCAGGTCCCACCAGGAGCCCACAGGCGAGCCACAGAGCCTCGCATCCACAGAGTGACTCAAGGCCCCAGTGGGCACGCTCTGGAGGGACCCCGAGCCGTCCCCCTCAATCCCAATTCAGTCTTTATCTCCCTCCAACCGTGTCTCAACAAGGCCTGCAGGCTGGAGCTGTGAGCAGTGAGTGTCTAATGGCTCCTGCCTCCCAACCTCTCCCTCAGCCAGAAGCTGCCAGAGGACACGGGGCTGGGCCAGCGGGTGGTCTGGTCTTCCCTCCAGGAAGAGTACGCATATGGGAGCTGGCCCGGGGGTGGGGGTGGCTCCGGCAGGGCAGTTGGTGGGCGGGCAGTTTAATCAGCCTCCAGGGGCTGGGGTCCCTCTCTGACGGGTCTGAGGACGAATGTGCGCAGTTCCCTTTTCCAACGTAAATCTTCCCAATGATCAAAGTCGGCCAGAAACCCCCGTGATGTCACAGGGAGGCCCCACCCCCGGACTGCTCCTCACAGGGCCGCCTCGAGCCAGAGGAAGTCAAGATTTGCAACGAAAACTTTCCAAGCAATTACTGCTGCGTAAGTTGAGCCTCGCAGATCGGAGAAGACAAAAGAAATCGATGACAATCAGGTTTCTCTACAAACACAAGCTGACCGCCAGGGGTCTTGCACAGGGACCGCCGCCCAGAAGTCGGCTCTCGTTACAAAAAAACGCGGGGCGGCGGGGGACAGACAGATCTGTTGCCAGCCTTTGATACGTTGTAATTCACTTTTAGGGGGACAGGGGCCTGTGTGCTGGGGTGTTGGCCACGTAAGTGGTTAAGTAGTGGGGGCTGTCATTTATGCAGCCAGGAGACAGGAGGGACCGTGGCACCTGCAGGGGCCCCATGTGGCCACTGCCCTAGGGATGGACACACACACACAGCCTCCAGGGCCAGCGGGTGACTCAAGCTCAGTGTGGCCAGACACGGGGACCTGATGTTACCAGCTTAAAACCGTGCAGACTCCGCATTCCCAACGGCTGTTATTCCTAGACACATCCCAGACTGACACGTTGGCATCTAAGCCAGCGTCTCCCCAATGTGCCCCTCGGTCACCATCGCTTGTGGCTCTTCTCTAACATGCTGACTCCTAGGCCCTGCCCTTGGCAGGTTCCTGGAAGCCAGAGGTCACCCTCAGCCCTGGCTTCTGGCTGGTCCTGCTCTGGGTCCATGCCCAGTGGACACCCCTGAGGAGGCAGGAGGGCTGCTCCCAGCATCGTCCTCTGTGGGCAGGAGGGAGCTTTCCAGAAGCCTGCTGGGCATGGGCCCCTCCTGCCTAAACTTTACAACATCCCAGGGCATAGGGTGGAGGTGGGGTCAAGAGGGAGGGGCCCAGGCACTGACAGGGAGCCGCCCCCTGGCTCCCACCAGCTGCCTTTCTCGTGGTCAGGAGCCTCCCCACCCCCCGGGCCAGGTGGGCTCCCACCTGTATGGCTGCTCCCCGGTGTGCGTCCTCAGGTGTCTCGTGAGGTTTGCGGATCGGGGGAAGATCTTCCCGCAGTACCTGGGTGGGGGTGGGAGACTGTCAGGCAGGGCCATGCTGGCATAGACTCAGGTGCCAGGTGCTTTCCTGGCACAGCCCCCCTCAAACTGGGCATCTAGTCCCGGAGGTCCTATACCTGGGGGAGATGGGTTTTAACTCCCCTGCAGTNCCTCAAACTGGGCATCTAGTCCCGGAGGTCCTATACCTGGGGGAGATGAGTTTTAACTCCCCTGCAGCCCTGGGGCCCAGCTGAGCTTTACAGAAAAGCCACCGACAGACTGTCCTGCTCGGGCCCTCAGGCCGTGCCCCTCCTCAAGCGTCATCTCAGCCCTGGAGCCCGGAGGTGCTGGGCCTGCTGGGATGGGCTTGGACAGGCGGGTGCAGCTGGGGACAGACACAGGGGTCTCTTCCCAAAGCCGGGACTCCAGTCCCTTCCCAGAGCTGCAGTTAGACACTGAGCAGCACACCCTGGTCCAGGCCTTTTGAACTCCTACTGGCCAGGCCAAGGGGGTTATTTTTTTGAGCTCATGAAGTTTAGTGGGAGGCAGGGGGAAGCCCACCCCAGGCACACAGACTTGAGGGCAATGGGCCATTTGCTGCTGCTATGCTGTGAGTCGTGACTGGGTTTCTCCTGGAAGCGCAAGGTCACGGGCTTGGGCACATCGCCTGCTGCCACCTTAC